AAATTTCGAATGTTTCTTATGTGATGTGGTACAATGGCCCTTTGAGTTACACTTAAGTAGTGTGCTCTGATCTAACCGTTATCACAGTAATGAAAATGAAAATTATGTTTCTAAATACCGTCATTCGTACATCGCTAACCGCGGCAAGGTCAGCCCACCGTGGATGCACCAGTCGAGCACTCTGGAGGTTAACTGAAGACGTAGGTTATCTACGCCCGAACGGGTTGTGCTATCCTGCCTTCTTAGGTGGCCTCTGAAAAGGGCGTTGCAAATTCGAACAAGATGTCGGTGATAGACTTTGCGTGTGAGTTATTTCGGATCGGCAGTGGATACACCCGGACCACTTAAGAGAGCGTTTCTGAAGAAAAACATCTCAATGATCTCCCAACGTTTTGTGAAGGTGGAGCTTTAAACGTGGTCATATCACTGACTTCAGACATGTATCTGAGGTATCATAGGTCAAAACTTTTCATTTTTTGTCATTTTGTCATTCTCAGTGGTCATATTTCAGAAGCCCAAAGACGAGCCGAGCAGCAGCTCGATAGACGTGCATGCTTATTTCGCTAAGCAGCCTAAGAGGTTTGTGAATTTCAATGAATTCACGCCATACACAGTCAAGGGAAAGCTTTATTTCGTCTTTCCCTTGGCCATTCAGCTGGATGGTCGATCTCAGGTGCTTGATGTGACCTATCCATTTTATGAATTCACCGTTGACGTAGTGGCTTTTGGGGGCATCGAGAAAATCTTCGTTGTTGAATTGTACGGTTCCTGACCGCTAGTCTCACCTTCACATCCGATAATGTCAGGTACCGACCGTAGACGATCAGGAGCGTTGTATATAGTTGAAAATGGTGGTAGATCGGGATTCGAATGTGCGAACTCCTTAAAAGGTCACCAAAATAATTCCGACGCCAATGGAATACTTTTATCGCTCAACAGATACCAACCAAGTCATAGACAGGTTCCAACCCACAGAGTTAACTTACTTACCAGTGTTTAACTAAAAGAATTCCCGGACAATGTTGCACCACATACTTGTGCCTGTGAAATATTCAAACAAAAATTCCCCGCGCTAATTAAAGCTAAAACTTATTCGTTTTTCAAGTGATAAAATGCCATTGTATGGTAGTTTCAATCCTTACTGAGTGCAAAACTCTAACTTGAGCGAAATCAATTCACGAACCTCTTCTTCTTCTACTGAAAGAGCTAAACTTAAACATATCAACTTTTGTCAACATAAGTGAGCAAACAAGTTCATTTTCCGTGCTACATCAACTAGCTAAATATAGCCAGTTCACGTAGTAGTTTACGTAGCAGTTTACGTAGCCTGTTTGCTAGCTTGTGTTCTCATGACTACTCAATCCGGGAATATATTCGTATAACCTCGTGTATTTTTTCGACTTTCTTATTTATCTCATTCCACGTACGGTTGATCAAATGAAGT